AATGTCCTGTGAGAACCAGTAGGACCAATCCTTGTTGTATGCCCAATGAGAGCCACTAGGACCAATCTTTGTTATATGCCAATGAGAGCCCAGTAGAACCCAATCCTTGTTATATGCCCAGTGAGAACCCAGTAGGACCCAATCCTTGTTAAATGTCCTTTGAGAACCCAGTAGGACCCAATCCTTGTTATATGCCCAATGAGAGCCCACTAGAACCCAATCTTTGTTATATGCCCAATGAGAGCCCAGTAGGACCCAATCCTTGTTATATTCCCAGTGAGAGCCCAGTAGGACCCAATCCTTGTTATATGCCCAGTGAGAACCCAGTAGGACCCAATCCTTGTTAAATGTCCTGTGAGAACCCAGTAGGACCCAATCCTTGTTATATGCCCAATGAGAGCCCACTAGGACCCAATCTTTGTTATATGCCCAATGAGAGTCCAGTAGGACCCAATCCTTGTTATATTCCCAGTGAGAGCCCAGTAGGACCCAATCCTTGTTAAATGTCCTGTGAGAACCCAGTAGGACCCAATCCTTGTTATATGCCCAATGAGAGCCCACTAGGACCCAATCTTTGTTATATGCCCAATGAGAGCCCAGTAGGACCCAATCCTTGTTATATTCCCAGTGAGAGCCCAGTAGGACCCAATCCTTGTTATATGCCTAGTGAGAACCCAGTAGGACCCAATCCTTGTTAAATGTCCTGTGAAAGCCCAGTAGGACCCAATCCTTGTTATATGCCCAGTGAGAGCCCACTAGCACCCAATCCTTGTTAAATGTCATGTGAGAACCAAGTAGGACCCAATCATTGTTATATGCCCAGTGAGAGCCCAGTAGGACCCAATCCTTGTTAAATGCCCAGTGAGAGCCCAGTAGGACCCAATCCTTGTTATATGTCCTGTGAGAACCCAGTAGGACCCAATCCTTGTTAAATGTCCTTTGAGAACCCAGTAGGACCCAATCCTTGTTATATGCCCAATGAGAGCCCACTAGGACCCAAACTTTGTTATATGCCCAATGAGAGCCCAGTAGGACCCAATCATTGTTATATTCCCAGTGAGAGCCCAGTAGGACCCAATCCTTGTTATATGCCCAGTGAGAACCCAGTAGGACCCAATCCTTGTTAAATGTCCTGTGAGAGCCCAGTAGACCCAATCCGTGTTATATGCCCAGTGAGAGCCCACTAGGACCCAATCCTTGTTATATGCCCAGTGAGAACCCAGTAGGACCCAATCCTTGTTAAATGTCCTGTGAAAGCCCAGTAGGACCCAATCCTTGTTATATGCCCAGTGAGAGCCCAGTCCGTCCAATTCTTGTTATATGCCCAGTTAGAGCCCAGTCCGTCCAATTCTTGTTATAGTCCAGTGAGAGCTCAGAGGGTCAGTATGATGCAACTTCCATTGTGAATCAATGTAATTTAAATTGACGGATCTGGATACAAATCGTATACATTTTTGTAGTGATGGAAGTAAAATCTTTTACAGACCTCATTTCGAGGCTTGTAAATGGTGAACTCTTTATCAGTGTCTACTAGTATGATTTGCTGAGATCAGCTGCTTGCAGGAGACTTACCTCAGCTGATTGCCACTAATGTCCCCAAGGCTTTCTTAATTAGTCTCCAATGACGTTAGTGACTGTGCAAAAAGATGTAGAGAAGCTTCAACTGTACCACTCAGTAGAAAGAAAAAAGCAATTATGGCAAGCTCACTAGTGAAATCCTGAAAGACTGCTAGATGAGCACAAGTGTGTTTGTCCAACCCAGGAAATATTTAATTAATGACCCCAAAACTAATAGAACTACAAAGGATGAATCTTATGTTAGTCATTTCAACAGGTATATGAGTCTTGTTGCTGATTGTCATATTTTACTCTCTTTAATTGTTATTAGTCCAAGCAAATTGTTCAGCTTGGAATGTGTCTGAATCCCGCATTAGTATGCAAGATTGTAGGAATGTACCAAGAAAATTGTTTTTCTGGAGTAAATTGTAGTGTATTGTACTTATGAAAGGTCAAAAAGTGCATGGAGATTTTATGAAAATGTGTGGATGTTAACAGAATGATGTCATGTGGTTACAGTTGCGTAATAAATGATGGACTATTTTGGGCGTAGCTATAAAATGTGTCACCGAATTACTTACACGTGTGCATGATTCCAATAGTTTGTGCTGTGAAGAAACTTCATTAGAAAATAAGTATTGTGTAATTTGTAGTGAGAATGTATTCAAATAGATTTATATTTATGAATCTTGTTTCTTTTCAAAGTGTATTTATATAATTAAAAATTGTTTATAAAAATGTTTTTTATACTTTTTTGATGGATTGATAAGTTATTTTGTTATACCATCACTCGAATTATGTGTTACGAATTTCTGATAGTTTATGCTTTGTGTTTCTGCAAACGGAAAGACATTTACTGGCGTACAGTGGACATCGATAAAAGCGAACGTATTTCGAAAGTTGTGAAATCATGGGACTAGCTGTTTTGGCATTATACGACTTGCAGCTCCCTTTTGATGGATTTTATGTGACTGGCCATGTTATCGAACTGTAGTATTATGTAAGTCTGCCCCGGAAGGTTTAAATTGCCTTTTGCATGCTGCGTTTAGCGAGGAGTCGTCATCTAAGTATGCACAATTGTTCGTCTCCTTGTCCTCGGTGCAGTTAAAAATCCCTTTTGAATTTGGGGGACTTTGTGTGACTGACCGTCGTGTTTGTAAACTTTAGTCAAACTGTAGTAGTGTGTAAATCTGCCACAACGTGGAGTTGCCATCATCTCTCATTTAAATACGTTTGTGCCTCAACAGGACTGAAAAGTGATTTCTATTTACTTCGTCTGTTGTAAATCAACTGTATTAGCTTTCTTCGAACTTCCTATTGCTATTAGGGTTATGTCTACTACACTCGGTGGTGTAGTTTGTATCCATCTTCTTCTTTCATTACATCCTGTAAACTCTATAATACAGATTGAGAGAAACTATATATGGTCATCACTGAACAATTTCCAGTCTGCCAGTAATATTGAAAAATTTAAGTATATCATGAATATATATACATCAGAAATAAAACTCATTAAACATGTTATTACCTATCTTAAATCATCTTATAATTATATGCTGACTTCCAAGCACAATGAAAATTTTCTTCTCTTATTTAAGCACTATTAGTACTGTACCTAGTAGTAGTTGGCTATGAACTTCCACATACCCATGTTTATGGGAATAGTGCATCGTGGGTAATACTGTATTGAGGTGAAACAAACATGGTTGACATAATGCCTGTTTGACTACATCGCTCGTGTTTCTTTTTCTGTCTTAGAGTTCTCTGTTTTCTTTGATTTTTTTTTTATTTCAATTAAACAGCGATTTGGCTGTGACCATGCATTTAGTCATTGTTGACTGTTTTTCTCGAATTGGTTGATTGTGACTATATAGTAACATATGCTAAGTACAATTAAACGTCCGGAGTGGAGCAGTAGTCATTTCTAACATGATTATTTAATTTAGTTTAATTCCTTCAGTTAAAAATTTAGTTTCCAAAATAAATAAATAATACGTAACCTCATGTATACTTCAAGTTTTCATTAAAACAGTCAAAGTCTTTGAAATTGCTTTTCTGTCTGTTCGCCAATTCATTGCTCCAAAACACACCTTTAAAACTCTTATTTTCCCAGCATCGAGATGGCTCTGCCAACTCTTGCTTAATTAATAAGTATATATATATATATATATATATATATATATGACAATTGGTTTATACATGCATTGAATAGAGCAAATATGATACATCTGATTGCTTCACAAATAACAAGTCACATGGTGTGTGTTTGTTTATTGCTTCACTACTCACCTCACTCTCAGTGATTTATTCATTTTTATGTTTCAATTCCAGTCTCACAAACCCAAGAATGGTATTTTTTGTTTTCTTATTAAAGAAGCCAGAGAGACTACTGCCTTAGAACTTCCTGATCTAGAAAATACATTTGTACTAAAGGTGAGTTGTTCAATACACTTACTCTTAATTTCAAATTCTTTATAAGTTTGAATAATGCTGTGTCAGTCTGAGTCAAAAGTTGAATATGAATTCAGTGTCTAGCTTAAAAACCCCAGAGAGTATTGGTTAATTTGCATAACAATACAATGTGTTAAGCATCTCTATTGTATTCTTTAATGGCCTCCTGAGAACCCTGAAATTAATACATGTTATACATGTATTTAGTATTTATTTATTTGCTATAGATTACAGGTAGTACAAAGAACTAAAAACATACGACAAGAGAGTACATTGCGAAATAATAAATATTAAAAAATAAAATAAAATAAAATGAGCAACTGATCCATGGCTGGGGTAACAGAAGATAGCAATCGTAATGCTAGACAAGTCTGTTCCCCTGTATACAATTATTTCAATGGGAAAAAAAAATACAAAGGTGTAGTATTCACCTTACACAATTGATTATTACAAAAAATGCTACAAAGACGAGTTATACTGTAAAATCTGTATTAAAAGCCGCGGCTTCTAATAAAATGGTACAATGCAACAGAGGGGATGCGGCTTCTATTAGAGCATCTACACATATGAGAAATGGTGAATTTTTAGGTATCAATTGTTCAAAAAGTATGGGTATGGCTTCTATTAGGGATGCGGCTTCTAATACAGATTTTACGGTAACAGTAAATAAATAGTACATAGAACTAAACATAGAAATACAGAGTAAATAAATAAATAAATAAATAAATAAATAAATAAGGAAATAAATATGATTGCATTGTAAGGATGTTGACCTTGCATTTGATACAAGCTACAGTTCATGTTCATTCTGTCTAGACTATTAAACACACAGTATCTGATTTGAGAGAATGGTATCCTATAAAAAGGAGAACTCAAGATAATCAAGTATTGTGTTGTTAATGTTCATATTGCGAGCTGAAAAAAAAAACGAGCTACCTTCGGAAATAATGGCTTCATATGCTAATTGTATTTTAAGAATAAACACATAAATAAAAATATAGTTGTTGTTGTTGTTGTTGCAAATTGCTTCTTAGTGGAATGTAAAACTATGTAAAAGACTTAACAGTTGAATTAATGTGAAAACAATGAAATAAAAATAATGAAAACACATTCAGGGTTTGTACAGTCCTAGAATAGACTGAAAAGTCATGGGATTTGAACAGTTGATGGAGTAGTGTGTACCTATGATAACCTAATATATACTCATAAATGATTTCATGATTGTTGTGCTTCACTGATGACAAGTAGTGTGTACCTATGATAACCTGAAGTACTCGTAGATGATTTCATGATTGTTGTGCTTCACTGATGACAAGTAGTGTGTACCTATGATGACCTGATGTACTCATAAATGATTTCATGATTGTTGTGCTTCACTGATGACAAGTAGTGTGTACCTATGATAACCTGATGTACTCATAAATGATTTCATGATTGTTGTGCTTCACTGATGACAAGTAGTGTGTACCTATGATAACCTGATGTACTCATAGATGATTTCATGATTGTTGTGCTCCACTGATGACAAGTAGTGTGTACCTATGATAACCTGATGTACTCATGGATGATTTCATGATTGTTGTGCTCCACTGATGACAAGTATGTGTGTACCTATGATAACCTGATGTACTCATAGATGATTTCATGATTGTTGTGCTTCACTGATGACAAGTAGTGTGTACCTATGATAACCTGATGTACTCATAGATGATTTCATGATTGTTGTGCTCCTGTGAATAATAATTTAATACAGTCTGTAATTCTTCCTTCTAAATGCAGACAAGACATGTGTGAGAGACGAAACAATTACTTAGGTCTGAAACACTTCATTGATTTTGACAATTAAACTCAATTTTTGTGAACCCGCGCAACAAACAAGTATTGTTGTTGCTAATCACTTCATTCATGTCAGAATGTACAAAAATTAATTAATTAATAAGCATTTAAACTCCTTTAGTTTTAATTTTATTTATTTGAATAAATAAATAAATAAATAAATAAATAAATAAATAAATAAGGAATGTACTTTCTAGATGAGTGCAATTAAAAGGCAGATCCTTCTATTTGTTATGTATGCTGGGCAAAACATGTTTTTTTTTTTAATATATTGTACAAGATAAAAAATGAAAAAACCTGAAATTGAAAAAAGTTTAAATGTAAAAAGATAGCATCGAGGGGATAGCATCCTGTTTTTGAATATGTTGGAACGTGCATGTACAGTTCCTGTTTCCAAAAATAAATCAATAAAATGTTTTTAAAAATAGAACTATTAGAATTAAAAATAGCGTTGATTATTTGATACAAAATAGTATTAAAGGATTAAAATGTAATATTGGTATGAATAATATGTATAAATATAGCAGTAAGCAGCAGTTAGTAGCTGTTTACCAGCTTTATGTAGTTGCTTTGTCAAATAATAAAATCATTTTTTTTTAATAATTAGTTTCCCTGCATGTGTCAGCACAAAATACTTTATTATATGTCATTAAAATGTTGCTCTCAAATTTTTAAATAAATCTTCTGGTATATATTTTTGTTCAACTGGATCCCTTTGTGATCTCACATGATTGCTGTTTAAGAGACACACCCACCCACACATTCATGCATGTACATGTACTAGGTCCTTGGTTCAGCTATCCTGTTACCTACGCAGACCAGCATGTCAGGATGTGTGTCACAACTTAAGCTCCACATCAGCAGATGTTCACTCCCTCATTCATGTACTGTAATATTAATAATAAAATACTTTTTAAATCATGTCCTCATTTGGGATCTAGACAAAAATGCAATTATGCTTAAAATAAAAAATAAATAAAGATAACTGAAAACAAGTTTGTCAACATCTTCCAAATTTGTTTTATGGCTAACAGTTTCACTCCATTAAATGTGATTATCATTTGTTTTCATGATCTAAATCTGTTTTATTTGTCATCTTGGTTTCAACAAATTTCAGTCTGACATTGTATAATGTAATGACATTCATCCTCAATTTGCTTGTCCTTTACAGAAAGCTGAGACATTTTTTGTCAAATGTGTTTGCCTGCTTCAGTTTTAACTTTTTACCACCAGACCTTCTCGCCCAAATTTGTCTGCAATTTTTTCTTACATATTCTTTGATATCTTTGGAAATGAACTTTAATTTTAGAGCCAACAGACAACATTTGAGTAAATTTTCAGTTTTTACTAAAAAAAATTGGCCATTTTTGTTCCAATTTTCTGAAGGAAAGTGTAGACTATAAACAGTAATATTTTGGAGAATTTGTGATAAAAAGAGGGAACTGGTGGTGAAACGTTGAGTACATGTGTGAGCATTAATTTAGTTAGAGCAGCTTTATCTACGAAGTTTTCAACAGCATTGAGGTATTTTTCCAGACCAAAGTTTGTATGTATGTTTTTGTTTTGTTTTATTTTGATACAGGAAAAAAAAATCATACACATATACATGTATTGAGCATGTGTTTGTTTGTTCGTTACATAGATGCTCAGAGTTATGAGTATACTTATAATAATAAATAAATAAAGTATTTGCATTGCAATCATAGCAATGATTCCAGGGCAGATATTCTTAGTTTGTAGTTTATGTATCTAGGAAAAAGGTTTGAACGTGTTCACTGGCACGTCCGGCATAAGTGTGAGATACTTTTGGATAATTAATAGTGTAAACACAGCAGTACTGCATGGTTCAACCCCAGTGGTACATGGTTTAACCCCAGTGGTACATGGTTTAACCCCAGTGGTACATGGTTCAACCCCAGTGGTACATGGTTCATCCTCAGTGGTACATGTTTCAACCCCAGTGGTACATGGTTTAACCCCAGTGGTACATGGTTTAACCCCAGTGGTACATGGTTTAACCCCAGTGGTACATGGTTCAACCCCAGTGGTACATGGTTCAACCCCAGTAGTACATGTTTCAACCCCAGTGGTACATGTTTCAACCCCAGTGGTGCATGGTTCAACCCCAGTGGTACATGTTTTAACCCCAGTGGTGCATGGTTCAACCCCAGTGGTACATGTTTTAACCCCAGTGATGCATGGTTCAACCCCAGTGATGCATGGTTCAACCCCAGTGGTACATGGTTCGACCCCAGTGGTACATGGTTTAACCCTAGTGGTGCATGGTTCAACCCCAGTGGTGCATGGTTCAACCCCAGTGGTGCATGGTTCAACCCCAGTGGTGCATGGTTCAACCCCAGTGGTACATGTTTCAACCCCAGTGGTACATGTTTCAACCCCAGTGGTACATGGTTTAACCCCAGTGGTGCATGGTTTAACCCCAGTGGTGCATGGTTTAACCCCAGTGGTGCATGTTTCAACCCCAGTGGTACATGGTTCAACCCCAGTGGTGCATGGTTCAACCCCTGTGATGCAAGGTTCAGCCCCAGTAGTGCATACACAATCTTCAATATTTATTTCAATGTTTAAAATATCCCAGATTACATTCCTCCAAAAAAGGACATCTGGCTTTTTAGCTCCGCTGTCGACTTTGTCGAGCGGAGCTTATCATATGAGTGATTGTCCGTCGTCGTCGTCCGTCGTCCGTGTCAATGTTTTACTTTTTCGACTTCTTCTTGAAAACTACAAGCCTAAATGCTTTGATACTTGGTGTATATGTACCTTGGGTAGACCTCTCTTAGGTTTGTTCATTTCATGTTGATATCTTTAATTCTCTAATTTTGGTGAATATTTTTGTCATTTTTGGTAAAAACTGATATTTTCGACTTCTTGTTAAAAACCGCAAGTGCAATTGCTTTGATATTACATATTTATAGGTACTACATGTGGACCTCTCTCAGATTTGTTCATTTCGTGATGATATCTTCAATTCTCTAATTTTGGTGAATATTTTTGTCATTTTTGGGTGAAAAGTGATATTTTCGACTTCTTGTTAAAAACCGCAAGTCCAATTGCTTTGATACTACATATATAGGTACTACATGTGGACCTCTCTCAGATTTGTTTATTTCGTGATGATATCTTCAATTCTCTAATTTTGGTGAATATTTTTGTCATTTTTGGTAAAAAGTGATATTTTTGACTTCTTGTTAAAAACCGCAAGTCCGATTGCTTTGATATTACATATATAGGTACTACATGTGGACCTCTCTCAGATTTGTTCGTTTTGTGATGATGTCTTCAATTCTCTAATTAATTTATTTTGGTGAATATTTTTGTAATTTTTGGTAAAAAGTGATATTTTCGACTTCTTGTTAAAAACTGTAAGTCCGATTGCTTTGATACTATTCATATTGTTCATTTTCTAATGATGTCTTCAGTTCTTTAATTGAAATGTGCATTGCTAACAGCGGAGCTATCTCAGCCGATAGGCTGCTTGTTAAAATTTATATTATACATCATGCAACATTGAGCCACAAAGTATCATGTGTCATGAATTAACCCTTTCACAATATATATATATACCCAGAAGGCAGCAAGTTTGATCTCCCAACTGACTAATGTGTGTTGTGGAATGACTGCCCCATTCCTTATATCGGTTACATGTACCTGTAAGAACAAGCTGAACGAGTAAATCAGAAAATTTACAACTTTTTCTCATGCCAGAGTAATAAAATTAATTATGATATATACAGACACCAGTTTATTCAGTGAGATTACACGTACATGTCATAAAGATGTTTTTACATCATATTACTATTTTAGGTGTGCATGTCTCAGAATAAATTTTTTAATCTCTAAAAATAATTATATAATTTAATTAAAAAATAATTATCACAGACCCTATTATCCATTCCTGACTGTCAATATTCATCACTTTTCAAAATGGTTATAAATCAGTTAATAGTATGTCAACTTCACTATTTAAGCAGACTCTTGTTTTCATGCAATAATGGGCAGTGCAGACTTTATTTTAGCTCTGCTGTCGACTTTGTTGAGTGTATGTTGTTCATGTCAACTTTTTACATTTTCAACTTCTTCTTGAAAACTACAATTCTTATTGCTTTGATACTTGGTGTATATATACCCTGGGCAGACCTCTCTAAGATTTGTTCATTTTATGACGATATCTTTAATTCTCTAATTTTGACGAATATTTTTGTAATTTTTGTGGATAAGTGATGTTTTCCGATTTTTTGAGTCTGAGTGCTTTGATATTATATATATATGTACTACATGTGGACCGCTTTCAGATTTGTTACTTTTGTAATGATATCCTCAATTTTCAATGAATATTTTTGTTGAAAAGTGATATTTTCAAATTCTTGTTGAAAACAGCAAGCATAAATAAACTGTCCAAAAATGAAATACACATTTCGTGGTACGTGTAATCTTGAAAAGAAATAAATAGACAAGGTGGTTAGCGTGACATGGATGCTTGTAGTCCAGTTACACATAGAAGAACAACATGCAAACGTAGAAACCTATTACCGTAGTAAGCAGATTTTCAGATGAAAATGACTAAGATTTCTTAACATGAACAAATAATGGTGGATTTGTTTAAACTGTTCACATAAACACAGGGAAAACATTGAATGTTGGTGAGTGACAAACACAGCCTTGTTCGTATCCTCTTGTACTGACCTCAAGCAGTACAGACAATAACAAAGCTGCATGTGTTACTGATCGACCAATAAAAATACAGCATTTCAGGCAGTATACAATATAATACTACTTAATATATAGTTAATGAGGTTATCGATTCCACCTGTTTATCAATTTTTTTTTTCAAGATTATTTCTCGAACATAAAATCATAATATCAAACTATTAACAATCTTAACCATTTATTACAAATTCTCAGTCCTTATTAAGTAATAAACCTTATTAGTTTAGGAGGACCTGTTTTGTAGAAAACTACATTTGCACATTTATTCTGTAATATTTTAGACATTGTTATATGAAATAACAGAATGATAATTGACTTAGCTTTTTGACATTTCTATTAACCTCTTGAATGCCGTGCATATGTGCATGAATGCTGAGTGATCGTGACATTTTAAAGACTTGTACACATGTGTGGAGTAAATGATTGAACCTAGTCTACTTATTGATACATGTGGTCAGTATAGCACGTAGCATGTTTATGATTCTGAGTTTCAAAGAGACCGCTTTTATATCAGTTGTTATACATAGAAAACAAGGTAATACCTGTAGGTGGTTTCTGTTCACTGTCAGATCTCATGAATGGTATGAAAGGCATACTACCAAACATTTGGCAAAAATCAAACATATATAGCTCAATGTCAAAAATTATGCTGATCTTTGAGAGGGCAATATTGCGTTACCCTTATTCTATAAAAATTGACCATCATTCAAATGTGTATAGCACATTATTAGGCGTGAAAATACTCCCAAAATTTCACATTTGTTGAATCATATGCGATGTTTTGACGTTGATATCTGTTTTTATGTACGATTTCATTCCTAGCATGAGATCTGGCAGTGAACAGAAAATGTTCTACTAAATAACAATAAGCTACAAAAGAAAATAGAAATAACATTTTTTTTTTTTGACAATTGGATTAATGGTTGACCCAACATACATTACAGCAATTCTCTTCACCCTGGCTAGTACAAATGCAAAGTACAATTGCTGTAAAAGTTGTTGATTATCAATCAGACCCATGTGTTGTTGAATTATATTGTGTAGTGCTCAAAGTTCACAGATTACTCTTGCTTCATTGTGTACTGAAAGGAATATTTTTTTTAAAATCATTCCATGAAAAATAGAACAGCATTCATGGTGAGGACAGATTATTGTCATTTATTTGCTTCCAAAATTCTAAAATTGCATTTTTTTCAATTTTTTTTTTTTTTTTTTTTTCATATTATGTTCCTTCTTAGGCTGATGGTTCAATGCTAATTTAGGCTTTAGATGAGAACAAAACACCCTTGAGGAAAAGGTTAAGAGATGGCAGGAAAAATTAATCATCCCTCACAATCAAAAACCATTCACATACACACAAAAAAATACTTTTTTAAGTTACCTGCGTTGCTTATTAGTTATAGTTCTATACATTAAATGTGTAAATCAAGTTTTGCCTTGAGTTAATGATTGAGATGGCTTCTTACAAAGCTCATATCTATCATGCTGAGTTGACCTACAACTGTGATAGGCCAAGAATGTCAATAACCAATCAGAATGTCATGTGGTAACTGCTGACAGTTACCAATATGTTCTAATACTGGACACCACCACAATACATTGTGGGAGTGAATTTCATGATTATCGAAGTTGAAGTATGGTAAAAACCTATGGCATATATGGTGTTTGGCTGGAAAAGTGCATTATTATATAGTGAAAACAAGTATTAAAATACTTTAAACAACTTTCAAAATGATAACAGTTGATGTGTATTTTACCTACTTGCAAAATTTGTTGTTTTTGTCTTAGTACAGACATAGTTATAATCTCTGCCTAAGCCGTGAAGCATCGCAAAAATATGCTTGAAATTGTGTTTTGACACGGTTTTTGCTTTTCTAGATACAAGTGAGGCATCTTGTGTGTATTGCCAAACTTTTTTGTAATCATCGACTTTTAGCAGTAAAGATTTCACCTTAATTTTGTATGCTAAAAGGCCGATCTTAAAACTAATTAATTTAATAAAGTCAATCGTAAAACTAATTATTCAAAACTTGTTTATTGCAGACTGCAAATACAATGGAGTATGTTATAGAGGCTGCCAATGTACCCGAGATGAGAGTATGGCTAAATATAATAAAAGATTGTATTAAAAAAGATACAGAGTATAACAAAATTACACCACGGTAAGTTGACCATTATATGCATGTTATATAATTATACCTGAGACTATGGCTAAATATAACAAAATAACACCACAGTGCAGTGTATAACAGAAATATAGCACAGTACATTTGCTAAAATATCTGACCTGAGTGTGATTAAATTAATAATTTAAAGATTATCATAGTAAGGTTTACAATCAAGCTTGGCATAATGGATTGCACCACATGTATTCTCTATCTGTTTCTCTGAGTCTAAATTATTATCCCAAACCTTTTTTTTTAAGAGCTGTGGTCATTCATGTTTGAATTTTGTGTAAAAAAGCAAATGTATTTATACATGTCTACATAGGGACCTTTAAGCGTAATCTGAAATTCTTTAAAAATATCAATGAACATAAAGTATAGACTGGGACTATGTCATTTACAATGATTTATTTTCTTAGATATTAAGATATCATTGAACATAGACTAGACAATATTGAACTCATTTGCTTGCATTATAGAGAAAAACCACCTGCTGGTCCTTCAGCATCTTCATCCACATCATCGTCACGACCAGCTGGACGCCTACAGCCAGTATCAGTAAACAGTCGACAGCCCATGCTGTTGGACAACCAAACATATCGTAAGTTTATTTATCAAGACAAATACACAGTCTGCAAATCCATTGCCTAGTCGGGTGTTATAGGGCTAATACCA